ACTCTAAATATATTTTCATACTATATTAATTTGTGAATTGGCCTACGAAGTCGAGCAAAACAGCCGACTAAATAAATATAAAAAAAATTTTTTCCATTAATCTAATATGAGAATTTTAAAAAGTCATCCTTTATTAAAACTAGCTAATTCGTATCTTATAGATACATCACAACCTACTAATATTAGCTATCTTTGAAATTTCGGTTCTTTACTTGCAGTTTGTTTAGGTATACAAATAGTTACAGGTGTAACTTTAGCAATGCATTATAACCCTAGTATTGCTGAAGCATTTAACTCTGTAGAACATATAATGCGTGACGTAAATAATGGATGATTAATACGTTATTTACATAGTAACACAGCTTCTGCTTTTTTCTTCTTAGTTTACTTACATGTAGGAAGAGGTATGTACTATGGTTCATATAGAGCTCCAAGAACATTAGTTTGAGTTATAGGTGCTATAATACTTGTAGCTATGATGGGTATAGGTTTCTTGGGTTATGTTTTACCTTATGGACAAATGTCATTATGAGGTGCTACAGTTATTACTAACCTTATAAGTGCTATCCCTTGAATTGGACAAGATATAGTTGAATTCGTTTGAGGAGGTTTCTCTGTTAATAACGCAACTTTAAACAGATTTTTCGCTTTACATTTTGTATTACCTTTTGTTTTAGCTGCATTAGTTTTAATGCACTTAATAGCTCTTCATGACACAGTAGGGTCAAGTAACCCTTTAGGTGTTTCAGGTAACTATGATAGAATACCTTTTGCTCCTTACTACTTATTTAAAGATTTAATAACTATATTTATGTTTGTATTTGGATTAAGTCTATTTGTATTCTTCATGCCTAACGTATTAGGAGATAGCGATAATTATATAATGGCTAACCCTATGCAAACTCCAGCGGCTATAGTTCCAGAATGATACCTTTTACCTTTCTACGCTATATTAAGATCTATCCCTAATAAATTATTAGGTGTTCTTGCTATGTTTAGTGCTATATTAATTATATTAACATTACCTTACACAGATTTAGGAGAATCCAAAGGTTACCAATTTAGACCTTTAAGTAAAGCATTCTTCTATGTGTTCGTAGCAAATTTCTTAATACTAATGCAATTAGGGGCTAAACATGTTGAATCACCATTTATAGAATTGGGGCAAATTTCTACAGTTTTATACTTCTCGTATTTCTTAGTTATAGTACCTTCTGTAAGTTTAATAGAAAATACAGCAAAATATATAGCTACTACATCTAGTAGTTCTTTTCGTTTTCATTAAGTCTATATATTTAATAAATATTTTATTAGTATATCTTAGCTTAATTTGATCTTTACTTATATATTGTATTTGTTTATCTTTTAATATTGATCCAGCGCCCTTCTATACATTTCAAAGTTTTGACTTATTGTATCATGCGTTAAAAGAAGGTTTATCCTCTTTTTTTTTTAATGATGGTATGATTTGTAATTTAGACGTTCCAAGACTTGCTTTTTCGAGTGATATTCTTGATAAACTAAAAATTGAATGTTATCAGCATTTAGAAAATAATAATTTTAGCACGGCTTTATCTGAATGATCTAATTTTTCTAGAGATGTTACAGTATTACCTTGAGATAATGCTGTAGTTACACAGGATGATATAGCAGTAAGACTAAGTGTTATTGAAAATTTAAGGTGTCATGTAGGAAAAGAAGGAAATGGGGCTTTAATGTTGAATTATGTGGATTTTCGTTCTTTAGTTATGGGGAATCATGGCATAGATATATTTGAGACTCTCTCAGATTCAAATTGAGTTAGTTTTTATTATAGTATGGCAGAAGAGTTCGATTATTTCGTCGAATATTGTACTAGTTGTGGTGAATATCATGTATACAAATCAGATGTATTGAGTTATTTTGATCAATTAAGAGATTTACATTTAAATACTTCTACAGATTTTTGAGGTTTCTTCGCTGAAGTTTCAACAATGTATTCGGATTCTCCTGAGCAAATAATGCAAGATTGTAATTGAATGTTGGAAGAATCAGGAGATAACCCTATAGAATTTGAATCAGAAGATATTATGTCTGAAGCTAATTGAATGTTTCAAGAACCAGAAAGTTTTGAAACATACTTTAGTTCAATGCATGAAGAGCCAGAGGAAATTATGTCTGAAGCTAATTGAATGTTTGATGAATAAGTAAAAAAAAAAAGATTATGAAGTAGATGGTCTACACTTTGACTGCAAATCTTAAGTAAGAGGTTCGATTCCTCCATGATCTTTCTTTAAATACATACTGCTAAGAATACTACTAATTACTTTGTTTATATTTAAAGGTTGTTCTTTAAAATATAAATTTAGAAGTAATCTACATTAATTGTTGTTCGAACAATTAGTGATCAAATTGTTGTTTAAAGAAGAAGATGAGAAACAGAAATTAACATCCTCGATAAGTATGGGGCTAGAGAGATGATTTTTGTCAACGAACGCTAAAGATATAGGAACTTTATATTTAATTTTTGCTTTATTTTCTGGATTATTAGGTACAGCTTTCTCTGTATTAATAAGATTAGAATTAAGTGGACCAGGAGTTCAATATATTGCAGATAACCAATTATATAATAGTATAATAACAGCACATGCTATACTGATGATTTTCTTTATGGTTATGCCAGCATTAATTGGAGGTTTTGGTAACTTCCTAATGCCTTTAATGGTAGGAGGTCCTGATATGGCCTTTCCAAGATTAAATAATATAAGTTTTTGATTATTACCACCTAGTTTAATATTATTGGTATTTTCAGCTTGTATAGAAGGTGGAGTAGGTACAGGATGAACATTATATCCTCCTTTATCCGGACTACAAAGTCACAGTGGACCTAGTGTAGATTTAGCTATATTTGCATTACATTTATCTGGGGTAAGTAGTTTATTAGGGGCTATTAATTTTATAACTACAGTTGTAAATATGAGAACACCTGGTATAAGATTACACAAACTAGCTTTATTTGGATGAGCTGTAGTTATAACAGCTGTATTATTATTATTATCTTTACCTGTTTTAGCTGGAGGTATTACAATGGTTTTAACAGATAGAAATTTTAATACATCATTCTTTGAAACAGCGGGAGGAGGTGATCCTATACTATACCAACATTTATTCTGATTTTTTGGACACCCTGAAGTTTATATCTTAATTATACCTGGTTTTGGTATAATAAGTACAACTATTTCAGCTAGTTCTAATAAAAGCATCTTTGGATATATAGGAATGGTTTATGCTATGATGTCTATTGGTATATTAGGGTTCATAGTTTGATCTCATCATATGTATACAGTAGGTTTAGATGTTGACACTAGAGCATATTTTACAGCTGCTACATTAATTATTGCAGTTCCTACTGGAATTAAAATATTTTCATGATTAGCTACATCTTATGGAGGATCTATAAAATTAACACCTTCTATGCTATTTGCTTTAGGATTTGTATTTATGTTTACAATAGGAGGATTAAGTGGAGTTGTTTTAGCTAATGCTTCACTTGATATAGCTTTCCACGATACATACTATGTAGTTGCTCATTTCCATTATGTTTTAAGTATGGGTGCGGTTTTTGCAATGTTTAGTGGTTGATACTACTGAATACCTAAAATATTAGGATTAAATTATAATATCGTATTAGCTAAAATTCAATTCTGAGTTTTATTTATAGGAGTTAATTTAACATTCTTCCCACAACATTTCTTAGGATTACAAGGAATGCCTAGACGTATTAGTGATTACCCTGACGCTTTTGCAGGTTGAAATCTAATTAGTAGTTTTGGATCTATTATAAGTGTGGTAGCTGCATGATTATTCTTATATGTAGTATACAAACAATTAGTAGAAGGTAAAGTTGCCAACAGAAATCCTTGATTATCTGTACAATATTACACTGATACTTTACAAGCTCTTTTAAATAGAAGTTACCCTAGCTTAGAATGAGCATTAAGTAGTCCTCCTAAACCTCATGCATTTGTAAGTCTTCCTTTACAAAGTAGCTGTAGTTTATAATATAGGTGGTAAGAGATTACTTAGAGGTAAAGTTGACTCAAAATGTTACTTCCCTCTACCCAATACCGGGATATGACCCCTTAATTATATGTCGTCTTGTTATATGGATTGTCATCATATGTCCCTAGTTCTATCGAATTTTAGAGTATACTTATATTAACAGTGTCGCAGCTTGTTATTAAGTAGATATGTAATAGATCGTACTATAGATCTGCTCTTAGCCTCGGTGTAATTCCACCTAGAAGGAGTAGTTCTTCTAATTAAGAAAATTCCGGTGTATCAGATAGATTAATTCTATCGTCTATCTTTACTAGTTCATGTGCGATGAACGCTTATGAAGCAAGCGAAGATAAGAAGTCTCATTAGCTCAATGGTAGAGCCGAATACTTCTAATATTCTGATTTTAGTTCGAATCTGAAATGAGATAATTCAGAGCTAAGCTCTGAATAATACTTAATTATAGGTATATTTTTTTTACTGGTTTTTTATTTCTATGATACTTTAATAAAATTTATAGTGAGACGAAGTCCCGACTACGTACTTTGTAACGCAATATAATCGTCAATCTTCTGATAAAACATTACTAAATTTTATTATTTAGTATTTATAAAACAAAAACCTTAATTTTTATAAATAAATGTATTATACTTCAACTCTTTTATCTGTATTAGAAGTAGTTTTATTAATGTTGCCTGCTTTATTAGCAGTAGCTTATGTAACTGTTGCCGAAAGAAAAACTATGGCAAGTATGCAAAGAAGATTAGGACCAAATGCTGTAGGATATTATGGATTATTACAAGCTTTTGCTGATGCTTTAAAATTAATTTTAAAAGAATATGTTGCACCTACACAAGCTAATACTATATTATTCTTCTTAGGTCCTGTAATTACTTTAGCTTTCGCCTTATTAGGTTATGGAGTAGTACCATATGGACCAGGTTTAACTTTAAATGACTTAGAATTAGGTATATTTTATATGTTAGCTGTTTCATCTTTAGGAACTTACGGTATTTTATTAGCTGGATGAAGTGCGAATAGTAAATATGCTTTTTTAGGTTCTCTTAGAAGTACAGCTCAATTAATTAGCTATGAATTAGTTTTAAGTTCAGCTATACTTTTAATCATCATGATTACTAGTAGTCTTAATTTAAATATTAACATACAAGCTCAAAAAGCAGTATGACTTATATTACCTATATTCCCTATTTTCTTAATATTCTTTATAGGTTCTGTAGCAGAAACTAATAGAGCTCCATTTGATTTAGCTGAGGCTGAATCTGAATTAGTTAGTGGGTTTATGACAGAACACGCTGCGGTTGTATTTGTTTTCTTCTTCTTAGCTGAATATGGTAGTATCTTATTAATGTGTATATTAACAAGTATACTATTTTTAGGTGGTTATTTAGCAGGATTTAATCTATTATACTGATTTAACTTAATAAATAATTTAGGTGCTTATGTATTTGATATAGATTGAGTGTTATCTGCTGAATATAATAATATGAAAAATTTTGTAAGTGCTTTTGCTGAAAGTGGTTTATTTTCTAGTCTTATTTTAGGTGCAAAAAGTTCTCTTTTAGTTTTCATTTTTATATGAGTTAGAGCTTCATTCCCTAGAATACGTTTTGACCAATTAATGTCATTCTGTTGAACAGTATTACTACCTTTATTATTTGCTTTCATTATATTATTACCTTGTACTTTATATGCACTTGATATCTTTGTAATAAATATTACAATATAATATTTCGATTTTGCTAACCAAAGAGAACTTGTAAACCATGAAATACGCTATAGAGACTATAGCGATTGAATGGGCGTTTACACGTCCAGACGTTCCTGTATCTCTATGCTTTTTTGTAAACTTCTTAATAGCTGTTACATTTCCTATCTCTATTGCTGCTGAGGAAGTATGCCTCGACACTGAATAGGCTTTCGACTCTACTTAAAATATTGTATATCTTACTAAATTATTTGGGAGCCGAAGGCGGCTATACATCGTAATTTCCTATTATGATACAAATTAAGACTTTGTTAAAAATTACTATCAAGAGTGATGTTATTATCCCTTTTACTTATTATTCCAATTATAGGTATATTTATTATATCTAGTTTTACTTCTTATGAAGGCCCTAACTCTAATGTAGAAAATGTAACGTTATACAAACAAATAGCATTAGTAACTTCTAGTGTTAATATGATTTTATCTTTTATCGTTTATATATTTTTTAATTCAAGTACAAATCAATTCCAATTTGTACAAGAACATTATAATGTTCAATTATTTGATATTTATTTAGGAGTAGATGGTATTTCTATCTATTTTGTGTTATTAACAACTATAATAATGCCTATTGCTTTATTATCGAATTGAAACTCTATAAAAGAAAATGTGAAATTTTATTTAAATACTATATTATTATTAGAAACATTATTATTAGGATGTTTCTTAGTTGCAGATATATTATTATTCTATATCTTTTTCGAAAGTATTTTACCTCCTTTATTTTTATTAATAGGTTTATTTGGATCTAGTAATAAAGTAAGAGCAAGTTATTACTTCTTTTTATATACAGTATGAGGATCTTTATTCTTATTATTAGCTATTTTAGCTATGTATTCTATAATGGGTACAACAGATTTTGATGCATTATTTAAAACAAATTTTGATTATACTACTCAGATTATATTATTTGGTGCTATTTTTATAGCATTCGCTGTAAAAACACCTGTAATATTTTTAAATAATTGATTATTAAAAGCTCATGTTGAATCACCTTTAGGTGGAAGTATTATATTAGCTGGTATTGTTTTAAAATTAAGTTTATACGGTATATTTAGATTAATTTTACCTGTATTACCAAAAGCTACATTAGATCTAACTTTTATAGTATATACTATAGGTGTTATCACTATAATATACGCAAGTTTTAGTACATTAAGAACTGTAGATGTTAAAGAATTAATTGCATATAGTTCTGTATCTCACGCTGCTGTATATTTAATAGGTGCATTTAGTAATACAATTCAAGGAATTGAAGGAAGTATTGCTTTAGGTTTAGCTCACGGATTTGTATCTAGTGGTTTATTTATATGTGCTGGAGGAATATTATACGATAGATCTGGTACTAGAATGATCTATCTATACAGAGGTATAGCTCAACTTATGCCTTTATTCTCTATATTGTTCTTTATATTATCTTTAGGAAATTGTGGAGCTCCTTTAACATTAAATTTTATAGGAGAATTTATGTCTCTTTATGGTATGGTAGAAAAATTACCATTATTAGGTGTATTAGGTTCTACATCTATAGTATTCTCTGCTGCATATACTATTTATATGTTTAATAGAATTACATTTGGAGGTTCTTTCACTAAATTTTTTGAAGAAAATATATTTGACACAACAAAAAGAGAATTCACACTATTGTTTATATTAGTTTTATTTACTGTTATACTTGGAATATACCCTTCTTTAATATTAGATAGTTTACACTATTCTGTTGCTAATCTAATTTATAGTTTCTAATAAACTTATATATTTTATATAGTATCGTAACGCAAGCAACCAGCAACCAGCTGGTTGCTGGTTTTTCCTTGGTTTGATTACTGGAGTATTTAAAGTTTAAACAACTTATAGTTGCCGCGGATTACGTAATAGTGGTCGCGGCTTGAATAAAATAAATATTCCCAGATTATGAAGTAGATGGTCTACACTTTGACTGCAAATCTTAAGTAAGAGGTTCGATTCCTCCATGATCTTTCTTTAAATACATACTGCTAAGAATACTACTAATTACTTTACCTGGCTTACAACAATTAGTAGTCATTAGATTAGAATCAGTAGCGATCAACCCAAAGGTTTGATTTTTATTAAATTGTTTGGTTTTATTATAGCTAGTCGTCACCTGATAATGTAAACTATATAATATATCCACCTAAAACAATTAGATTAGTAGTAGCTATAAGGAAGCAGCTGTGGCTGCGACTCCTTCTATTTATCTTCGAGTTTAATATTAAACCTTAATACTCCTCTGATTAAGTCACGATTTTATAAGTATTTATCTCTAAAATTCTCTGTAAATGCCTCAATTAGTACCATTTTATTTTATTAACGAAGTAACTTTTGCTTTTGCTATAATTGTATTACTAACATACGTATTTTCTAAATACGTATTACCAAGAATAGTTAGTTTATTTGTATCTCGTCTTTTTATCTCAACATTATTAGATAAATTTGGAGTATAATAAATTATAGATATTTAGATTTTTGTAGGCTTATATAAAAAGCTTAGAGTATAATATGAATACTTTAAGTTTAAACAATTTAAATAAAGAAATTTCTAGCCCTTTAACTCAATTTGAAATAAGAGATTTATTAAGTATAGATTTACCTATATTAAGTGATTTACATATATCTATGACTAACATAGGATTATATTTAACAATTGGATTAGTTTTCACATTAATTTTAAGTGTATTAAGTATAAATAATAATAAATTAATTAGTAATAACTGATCTATTAGTCAAGAATCCTTATATGCAACTATACACGGTATAGTTGTAAATCAAATAAATGCTAGAAGCGGTCAAGTATATTTCCCTTTTATTTACACTTTATTTATATTTATATTAATAAATAATTTAATAGGTATGGTACCTTACAGTTTCGCATCAACTAGTCATTTTGTTTTAACATTTGCTCTTAGTTTCACTATTGTTTTAGGTGCAACTATATTGGGATTCCAAAAACATGGTTTAAAATTCTTTTCATTATTAGTACCAGCTGGTTGTCCTTTAGCTTTATTACCTTTATTAGTTTTAATAGAATTTATTTCATACTTAGCTAGAAATATTTCTTTAGGGCTTAGATTAGCAGCTAATATATTATCAGGTCACATGTTATTACATATATTAGCAGGATTTACTTACAATATTATGACTTCAGGTTTCATATTCTTCTTCTTAGGATTAGTACCTTTAGCTTTTATAATTGCTTTCTCTGGTTTAGAATTAGGTATCGCATTTATACAAGCTCAAGTGTTTGTAGTTTTAACTAGCGGTTATATCAAAGACGGATTAGATTTACATTAATTCGAAGCTTTATGGCGGAATTTAGTAGTTTGTCGGCTGCGTAGTCTGTCGTCTAGCTATATAAATTTGCAATCTAGGGTATTATCTTAATGGTAAAAAATAGTCTTAGGCTCTCTTAAATAATAAGAATCCTATTAACTATGTATACTTTAATCATAATCTGGGTTCAATACAAATACATAAATCATTAATAGTATTTAAGAATTCAATCTTAATAATTAAGCTTTCTACAATAATAAAACATTGATCTTTAAACAGGGATTTGTAGTTGTAGGAGTTAACCTTTAATTTAACAATAACCACGTAAAGAACGTTAAGTTTAAATTTATCCTTCTTAATAATTTGGTTAATAAAAGTATATAAATCTAAATAAGCTTTATAGTTAGGCTCAAGTATGTGTTTTTTTAGAATACTCTAAGGAATGAAAGTATTGAAATATTTGACTTTAGGGCTATTAATAAAATCCTCTTTATAACATATCCTATTTGTTATAAAGGGGGTGTCAGTCCTATTCACTCTACTAACCTCGGAGAGTAAGCAACCATTCAAATATGGCTTGAGTTGAGTCCGACCAAGGTACAGAATTAGGTATTCTGGCTTAAAATGAAATATTGAGAGAAAATAAATTCTGCATTCTGTACCTCAATAGGTGCATAGAGGTTCTAAAATAAAAGTAGTAAACTATACACCTGCATATAAATACTAATTCTAATTTAGTGATAAAGATGGTAAAGTTCTCCCTTTAGTTAGTATATAGATAACTAATAATTATCATAATAAAAATAATGGTCATTTGTAGAGAAAATAAAAAATAATAGTGTTAGTTATTTAAAAATTCTTTATTCATAAGAAGCAATGAATAAAAAAAATTATTCATTGGCGATATGTATTACTAAAAATTTTTTTTCTGGATATTATATTACCTTAAACAGGGGGTCAAAGGTATTTTAGTCTTTAATGAAATAGTTTGCTTCTATTTCTTAAATATCTAATTCATAGTTTTTAGGTAGAGTAGATTATTCTAGAGTGAATAAAGAATGTCTGGCTGACCACCAGAATGTAACCTATGATTTGCGGACAATTAAGCCTATATTTATAAGTTTTTTGTCTCATCTTGCATGTGATGTACTTGGCATCAAATTAAATATGATGTAATAGGTTTAAAACTGTAGTAGTTTTTTTACAACCCTAAGTAGATCCCACAACAGTCCGCTTATAAATGTGTAAGATAAGGGCGAGTGTGCTAGTGCACGTGTTTTGGTAAGTACTCAAAAAAATATATTTCTTACCATATGTTTGGTAAGCGCGACGACCAAGTCGTCGCGATTAATATAATTTTTACTTAACATGAGGTATGAATGGAGCGTATTCTTATCCTAAACTGCTTTGGATTTATTAGTGATGTATTTGACATCAAGCACATTGTGAAATACATCAATGAAATTATATAAATGAGTTTGGTGATGGCTCTGAATGAATGCTGTCCAAATGCTTGACACATGCTAATCGTACGATTAATATAATGAATAATTTAATTAATAAGTGGTGTACAGGTGAGTATATGATATTTTCACTACCTTAAAGTGAGGGATAAAATACCACATAATAATAAAGGCAAAAGCCGCTTTAGGAAGAAGATTAATATCGTCGAGAGAGGTAGTAGTAAAGGTAATGTCTTCACTAGCTTTAAAATCTCGTAACCGTAACTGAAAGGTTGATCGGTCACATTGGGTCTGAAAAAAGCCCAATGCAAAATTAGTACAGCAGTGGGGAATTTTGGTCAATGGCCTAACGGCTGAACTGGCAATTTGGGGAAACGAAACAGAATTGTTTATACAAAAATAAAGTTTTAAGTACGTATTAATAATGATAATATGTATACTAGTCTTGACCAATTACGTGCCAGCAGTCGCGGTAATACGTAAGAGACGAGCATTATTCATATTAAATAGGTTTAAAGGGTACCCAGACGGTCAAAATACCTTAACTAAAAGGAGTACTTGACTAGAGTTTTATGTGAGAAGACCGTACTTGAGGTGGAGAGATTATATTCTGTGATACCAAGGGGACTGATAAAGGCGAAAGCTGTCTTTTATGTAATAACTGACGTTGGAGGACGAAGGCATAGAACACGAACAGGATTTGACACCCTAGTAGTCTTTGCAGACAATGATGAATGCCATGGACTAGTCGCTAAAATAACTACTCTATCCTAGATTGTTACACAATCTAGGATGCGAGTGTAGTTTAAGCAGAATTAGTCTATAAATGAAAATGAAAGCATTTCACCTCAAGAGTAATGTGGCAACGCAGGAACTGAAATCACTAGACCGTTTCTGACACCAGTAGTGAAGTATGTTATTTAATTCGATGATCCACGAAAAACCTTACCACAACTTGAATATTTAGCAATAAATACAGGAGTTGCACGGCTGTTTTCAGTTAATGTTGTGAAACTGTGGTTCTTCCATGGAATTAACGGAATCCTTTGCTTTATTTATATAAAGTTTTATAAAGCAATCTTTCTTTATAGCGGAAAAGATAAAAAGGAAAAAGACAAGTCATCATGGCCCTTATGTTGTGGGCTATAGACGTGCCACGTAGTCCTTAACAAAGAGATGCGAAAATGCGAATTTTAGCTAATCTCAAAAAAGAGGATATAAATTATACAAGGATTGTAGTCTGAAATTCGACTATATGAATAAGTAATTACTAGTAATCGTGAATCACCATGTCACGGTGAATTAAATCTCGGATTGGTACTAACCACTCGTCGCATGCTGAAAGGAGCTTACGCAATAAGTTTGCTATTTTGTTATAATCTCTTTTATAAATTGGATTAAAATATTATAATGGAATTCTTCGTATGCGTGACTCTGATTAGTGTTAAGTCGAAATATGGTTCGTGTAGTGGAAGTTGCACGGGGTTTATAAACCTAAAAAATATAATATATTCGGTGCTGCTTATCGCAGCCCAATTATTTAAAGTGAATTCTTTATTTTAAATGTTGCCTTCAATAGCAATAACTATTTAAGACTGAATTCACTCTTTATATTAAGTGTTGCCCATTGGCAGCCTAATTATTGAAAAATAAATAGTCAGCTTATATAAAGAAGGAGAGTTCCTTTATTGGCAAGAAGGGTTGAGCTGTAAACTCAATAGCAATTTTCTGCTTTAAGAGTTCGAATCTCTTGTCTCCTAAACATCTAAAGCCTTTATAGCTCAACGGTAGAGCATAATACTGTTAATATTATGATAGAGGTTCGATTCCCCTTAAGGGCTTCGTTTGAGATAATGGACGCCTAACTTAGCCTATCTAATCCGAGCAATTCGATAATTACAAAATAAAAAACATAAAAATGACAAATCTATCGAGAAGTCAATTTCAAGACCATCCGTTTCACTTGGTATCACCTTCACCCTGACCTATCTATACTAGTATAAGTTTATTAACATTAACTCTAAATGCAGCACTATCTATGCATAATTTTTTAAATGCCTATGTGATATTTTATGTAGGGCTTTTTTTACTAATTAGCTCTATGACTTTATGATTTAGAGATATAATAACTGAGGGTACATTTTTAGGAAACCACACATTAGCGGTGCAAAAAGGACTAAATTTAGGTGTTATTCTTTTTATAGTGTCTGAAGGATTATTCTTTGTAGCAATATTCTGAGCATTCTTCCATAGCTCACTAACACCTACAGTTGAATTAGGAGCACAATGACCACCTATGGGTATAGACCCAATAAATCCTTTTGAGTTACCATTACTTAATACCGTAATATTATTATCTAGTGGGGCTACAATTACTTATAGCCATCATGCTTTAATACAAGGAGACAGAGGAGGAGCTTTATACGGTGCGATTGCTACTGTATTATTAGCTTTAGTTTTCACAGCTTTCCAAGGTGTAGAGTATTCAGTTTCATCATTTACTATAAGTGACGGAGCGTTTGGTACTTGTTTTTACTTCGCTACAGGTTTTCATGGATTCCATGTTATAATTGGTACACTATTTTTGGGAGTCGGATTATGAAGAATATATGCTTATCATTTAACTGACAACCATCATTTAGGTTTTGAGGGCGGTATTCTTTATTGACATTTCGTTGATGTAGTTTGACTTTTCTTATATGTATCAATATATTACTGAGGTTCTTAATGAATGAAATGATGAAAGCTATGCAAAAAGCTAGACATTATAAGTAGACAAGTAAAAATATATAACTACCTTTTATATTTCCTTTCTAATTTCAAAGTTATTTTTAATGCTTTGAAATTAGATTGAAAACAAGGTTAATATTTAGAGCTAAGATACTATAAATTATAAATATACTGGAATTATTAGTAAAGTATATTCTATATTATAAATATACTGGAATTATTAGTAAAGTATATTCTATAGAATATAGTATAAACGGTTATCATTTAATGGTAGGATTGCTGTCTTCCAAACAGAGTGTGTTGGTTCGATTCCAACTAACCGTAAATATTTGAACTAATAGCTTAATTGGTAAAGACTTCTCCTGTCACGAAAAGGGATGTCGGTTCGATGCCGACTTAGTTCGATTATTTTAAAGTATACTACAGAGTCTTTGTAGGAAAGGTCGCCATAGGTAGGGCAAGATATTTGCTAAATATTATGTGAAAACATTTGGGCGTTCGAGTCGTCTTCTTTCCGTAGCAGGCCAAATCTGTAAGATTTACCTCTGTTTTATCACTTCCCCCTAAGGGGTAAAATTTATCCGAGCAATATGTCAAATTTGTTTATCATAGATGAAATATATACTAGTGGGTTTAAAACAGGAGCTTTAGATATTGTTTCTATATTTGCAATATTATGTGCCATTTTAACAATTGTAAGTAAAAATCCGATAGTCTCTGTTCTATTTTTAATAGGATTATTTGGGAGTGTATCTTCTTATTTAATATTATTGGGTTTAAATTTTATAGGTTTATCTTACTTAATTGTTTATATAGGTGCTGTATCTATACTATTTTTATTCATTTTAATGTTAATTAATATTAGAGTTAGTGAATTACAAAGTAATACTAAAAATAGTATACCTTTAGCTTTATTTATAACAATATTTTTTAATTATTTAGTTTTCCAATTCTTACCATATGATTTAGCCATTTTAAATAATTCAAATAATTCATTAAATAATGTATTATACCACACATCATTTAATGATGCTTCTGGGGCGACAGAAAAAATATTTAATAATACTAAAATCTCAAATTTAGGAGGAGAAAGTTCTGATCTATTTTTTGCTACAAGTAGTAGTTGAGATGGAAATTTAATAGAAACAAGCCATATATCTAGTATAGGGAATATACTATATACAAGCCATAGTATGTGATTAATACTAGCCAGTTTTATTCTATTGTTAGCTATGATAGGTGCAATAGTTATTACAATAAAACCAAAAAAAAAAAGGGATTAGCTCAATGGTAGAGCAACCGTTTTACACACGGTAGGTTAAGTGTTCGAGTCACTTATTCCTTAAAAAAAAGAGTATAGTTTAATGGCAAAACAAGGAGCTTCAACCTCCGAATTCTTAGTTCGAGTCTGAGTACTCTTGTATTTTTAAAATGTTCTAAATTCTTTAACTTAACGGTAAAGTGCATTTTTGATAAGAATGAAATTCAAGTTCGATTCTTGGAAGAATTAAAAAGTGAGCAAGACAGTAATGTGATTTGTCATAAAAAGAGAATTGACTGAGTGGTTTAAAGTGTCGGCCTTGAGTTCCGATATGGGATTGCCCCATCATGGGTTCGAATCCCATATTCTCTGTTTTTTGCTGCGAAGCTAGTCTGCTGCAGCCTAAAAGCAAAATTTTACCTTTTACAGATTAGGGCCGGGTTGGTTAGGCGCTCCTTTTGGGAAGGAGAATAGTTGCGTTCGAACCGCAATAATCTGAAATTGGAATCAATAGAAATGTAATGGATATAGAACATATATTTATATATAAATATACAAGTATACAAAGAAACTATTATGGAAATCTGGCTATGTATTAAAGGGTATGATTTATTTACTCAAATTAGGAATTTAGTGGTTTTCGCCCTAAAAACTTATTTTAAATATAAACCCTAAGAGAAGTTTTTTAATAAACGAAGTGAATTGAAATATCTTAGTAACTTCAGGAAAAGAAATCAAAAGAGATTCTATAAGTAGCGTGAGTGAAAGTAGAGGAGCCTATTTAATAATAAGTAAAATGGTTTAGAAACTGTTTGAATTTATTGCCTGATCCCTGTAAGGGAAAGGGCCCGGGGAACCTTCCTCAAAGGCTAAATATAATACATAAGCGATAGTGAATAGTATCGTGAGATAATGATTAGAATTAGTAGTTTTATAAGCAGTTCGAGCTAAAGTGAGAACGTACCTTTTGCATAATGGGTCACCAAGTTAACATTAGATGCGAGTGAAAGCGTAGGTAAACCAATCGTTAAAATAACGAATAGTGTCTAAAGTTAGACCCGAAGCCTGGTGATTTTACCATAATCAGGATTATAAAAGTCCGAACGGGTTATCGTTGTAAAGATATCCGAAGAATTATGGTAGGTAGTGAAAGACAACACTGACTAGGATAGCTGGTTTTCTGCGAAACCTATAACAGTAGGCAATTTGAGTAACATCTTAGCAGGTACAGAATTTAATCTCAGACAAGATGTTCTAATTTTAGTTCGGCGACGAACTAAAACAACATGTTGATTTGTATATATCGGGGGATCGTGAAGATTTTATCGGTGAGTATGTAGACTCGGAATGGCAAAGATGGATCTTGAATTATCAGACATAGAATGATAAGGTTGTATGTCAAAAGGGAAACAGCCCAGAACAAGAGTTAAGGTTCCAAAATTATTAGTTAAGTGAAATTAAGAAGGTTATTATTAAAGTCGACAAGGAGATGGGCTTAGAAGCAGCCAAATTTTGAAGACCTCGTAACAGAGCGCTTGTTAAGTTTTAAAAGCATCGAAAATTTAACGGATCTAAACAATATACCGACACCTTGTCCATATTTTACTATATATATTATTGTAATTTAGTGGGGTAGCAGAACGTTGAATTAAATTAGGATATTTCTTCTGTGAAGAAATATATAACAAACAATTCAAGTGAGAATGGTGACATGAGTAACGAATAAGAAGGACATTTTACCGAAAAAGCCTAGTAAATCTCTACGTACCATAATTATGGTAAATAGGGATTCCCTCCCTTTGGGAGTTACTAGGTACTTGAGTAAGTACTAAATCCTCCGCCTAAAGCTTATGGATGGAAAAATATGCCCCTTAAAGTAACGGCCTCTAAGTTATAAATCTAAAGGTTTAAACGATGAGAAAATCTTTTTTACTAAATGACAACACTTACAAGTGATAAGTGTGCTGGAAAAAATAGTAATATATTTTGTTAAGTATATGCAATAAACTAAAAAGATGAGTATAGAAAGATAAGATGAAAAAATAACCGTACCTAGAAACTAAAACAAGTAAGCTAGTAGAGAATACGAAGGCGTAAATGAGCTAACAATCATAAAGGAACTCGGCAAACTAACTACCGTAACTTCGGGATAAGGAGAGCTCATTAGTCCTGATTAATATCGGGTAAAAAGGAAGAAGCATAAAATAGTGTTGTACGACTGTTTAATTAAAACACAGCACTTTGCTAAAAGATTAAAAATCGAAGTATTGAGTGTGATGTCTGCCCGATGCCGGCTGGTTAACGAATTTAACTAAATTGATCAATAAATTTGGTGTTGAAGGAACCCCCGGTTAATGGCGGCCTTAACGTGAGGGTCCTAAGGTAGCGAAATGCCTTGGCCGTTAAATGCGGTCTTGCATGAATGATGTAACGATACAACAGCTGTCTCTATGATTGACTCAGTGAAATTGGAATAACTGTGCAGATACAGTTTACCTCTAGTTAGACGAGAAGACCCTATGCAGCTTTACTGTTACTAATTATAGGGTATGATGAATTAACTTTCAGATTATAAGGTACATTGATTCAATAAAAATGAAAATCCTTTATTTTCACGTCATACTTCAGAATTAATTTTGGAAATTCACCTGGCTGGAATGGCGACTTCGTCATTTAGGCGGGAGTGAAAGAAAAGATTAACCTAGTCTGACATATAAGTAGCCTTAGGTAAGGAATATATTGTTAGGAGACAGTTTATGTGGGGCACAGACCCCTTAAAGAGTAAAAGGGAGTGTCTAAAATTTATTTGTTATAAAATTTATAACGTTGTTTGTGGTTTTATGTAGTTTTACTATATTTAATCTTATGAAATTCACTTTATCTACCCTTGTTGTAGATACGGATGGATCTAAGGTACGATTTTCACTATGGTGAAAGTAGCGGTATAGAAAAAAATATTATGAATAACGACGACGTCGCTATTCTAATGTTTTTGGAGTTATTAAGGTGACTGGTCGGAAAATCTCCTCCCCGCTCTTAATAATAATGATAAATACTTGAAAAGCTCAACGGCTAATTCGTGCCATACTGTTTGATTAACAACAAATCTTACAGTTGCGTAAGCAGGGCATAGGATCACAAGATGCAAAAAGGAAAGATCTTGGATTATTGGAAAAGCTACGCTAGGGATGTTTGTCCTTCAATATTTTTAAACCCTCGACCTAGCCCCAGGGCCGTAAGGCCAGAGGCGAAAGGGAGAAAAGTTAAAATTATTGAGAATATATTGGGTTAATTTCAAGAATTACTTATATAAGTAGATTTGAAGCGAAATTTATCTTGGCATAATTATATAAGATAAAATCGTTCAACGACTATAAGGTGAGTTATGCTAACAATAATCCTTTTTAACACCCAACATTTTTATTACCATACACTTATAAAAAAAAGATAAAAAGAAAGAAAATTTCATTTTATGAAAACGAAAGCTCTAAATACAAATGCTAAAATTTTTCGTTCTAATTTAAACAATAAGTTTAAATTAACACCGTTTAATCTTCAATTAAATGATTTAGGTAGAGTAAAATACTTACCTCCTGTATCTAAAGAATGAAAAAATACAATCTATTCATATTATAAAAAAAACATGCAAAACTTACCTATAGATAGTATAAATGCGAATAAAGTAATACAAAGTTATTTTAATTTATATTTTGATCATAAATTTCAAGGATCAAGATTGATATCTCCTAAAACAAGAAGTTTATTATTAAAAAAAATCTATGTAAGTAAAATGGAAACAAAACATACAAATTCTAAAGCTATAGTAACTTTATACACTATTAATGCAGAGAAGAATAATGTATATCAAGAATATTTTAAACATTTAGATGATTGTGAAGATGAATTCTTAACTTTATTTAAAGATGAATTAAAAAACATAATTCATGGTGCTAAATCTTCAGGAGCCCAGGAGTTACTAGCTAATACAAATAATATTAGTTTAGTAGCCTTAGGTTCTAAAAACGAAGATCAAAAACAAATTCTTTTTTCTAAATATAAATTTTTAACAGAGTCTTTAGAATGTTTTAATTTATATTTAAGATTATATTTAAGCATCCAATTTAAAGAATCATATTCGGATAAATTGGATTTATTAAGAAAATACGAATTAAATTATTATTTAAATAAATTGAAATTTGAAAATATTTACTTACATAAATTAAGTAGTATTTTATCTAAAATTTTTAATAAAAATATCGAATTTAATATAATAAATTTGAAATCTTTGGCTTTTAACCCTGAAATTTTTACTCAAGCTTTGACTTTAAAATTAAGAAAACCTAAATCTCAGGTTATAAGAGTAATGGATAGTTTATTAAAAGTAGCCAAATTACCTCAAGTTAATAGAATTCAGGAAAAAGCTATTATGGTTAAATCTAAAGATTTCTCTTTATTACAAAATGCTTATCCTAATTTAAGTTTAGTTTCTATATTAAAGGACTCTAAATTAATAAATTCAGGTTCTTATAATTCATTATTGGAAGCCAAATCTTATGATACTATAGCAGCACAAACTTCGCTTAATGACTCCCAAAAACAGCATAGTAGATACTATAGCAATATTTCGAATATAATATTTAATTCTATTAAATATAAAAATTTAGGAGGTGTAAGATTAGAAGTTAAAGGAAGATTAACAAGACGTAATAGAGCAGATAGATCTGTATTTAAATTTAAATGAAAAGGAGGATTAAGAAATATAGATTCTTCTTTTAAAAAATTATCTACAGTAACATACAGAGGTTATTATAAACCAAATGTAATGTATTCATTATCTGCATCAAAACGTCGTGTAGGATCTTTCGCAGTAAAAGGTTGAGTAAGTGGTAAATAAGCATATTTCGTAGCGATTACGTAGACTAAATAAGTTATGGTAGGGAGCGCGTGCTATAAGTCGCTCTAATAAAAATGAAGACATAGTCTGAACCATTTTGTGAAAAATGGAAATAAAATTTATTATGATAACATGTAGAACAGGCTAATTTGCGCAAGAGTGTACAAAATGAGTGCGCGGTTTGGCACCTCGATGTCGGCTTAACTTATCCTCATGGATGCAGAAACTATGTAGGGTACGACTGTTCGTCGATTAAAAAGTTACATGAGCTGGGTTAAATACGTCGTGAGACAGTATGGTTTCTATCTTCTAGAGGGAATTTGAATAAAATAAGGATTAACCTTTGTACGAAAGGAACAGGAAAAACTTAACCCAAAAGGTTAGGTTATATTAATTGTTAACCTCTGGTTTACCTGTTGTTTATAAGCCCAATATTAATTTATTCTAAAAATTTATGATTTTTATAAGGGATGTTACTTACACTAAAGTAAATATATATTATAGGCACGGCAGGAAAGCTAAGTTAGTTAAAGATAAGTGCTGAAAGCATATAGGCACGAAGCTTACCTTAAGATATTTCTAATTCACGTAATATACTATTACGGCATAATATTATTATTATTGCAATAGGCTTTGTTTGTAATGATCTAGAGATCTTAAGATACAAAGTACTAATTTTAAAGTAACTATTTATTAATATATCTTACATTTTTTTTACCTTAGTACTACAAAGTAGCCGGCTCCATACGGCGATTTTTGTCGAGGTGGCATAATTCAGTACCAGCGACGAGCTTGCGCTCTTAGTGTTGACCAATGAATCACGTGCCAGCCGTCGCGGTAATACGTGAGGTACTATAACAAAACGGGCTAATAAAGCCTATCATATAAATGAAAGCCAGCCTGGTTAGCATAAAAGTAATGCAATTGTTTTGTAATCAATAGACGCAAGCGCGATACTTGCACTGGGCTTAAAGAATAGGATTAGTAGTCAAGTGGTAAAGACATAGCTCTTTCAATGCTACATACGCGGGTTCAAACCCCGCCTAGTCTAGTCAGCGGGTTGATGTAATAGTAACATATTTGACTCATGATCAAATTATATTGGTGCGAATCCTTTGCCCGCATAATAGAGGCTATAGCTTAATTGGTAAAGTGTACTGCTCATGACAGTAATTATAAGTGTTCAACTCACTTTAGCCTTATTTGCTGCTAATACGGCTTTGTAGCAAGCTTTAAATCCGAGTGCTGGAATAGGTAGACAGGGTATTCTTAAACAATACTGATGAAATTTCGTAAACGTTCAAGTCGTTTTTCGGATAATAAAGGGGATATAGTTTAATTGGTAAGACTTTGATTTTGCATATCAACATTTCAGGTTCGATTCCTGATGTCTCCACTTTTTAGACTTAAGCTCGTGAAGCTCAATTGGTAGAGCAAAATATTGAAGCTATTTTGGTTATAAGTTCAAGTCTTATCTCGAGCATAAAAAGGGTGATGATGGAATTGGTAGACATGAACAGTTTAGGCCTGTTTGATATATTTGTATCTGTATCCGTTCAAGTCGGATTCACCTTATCAGGTTATGTTGTAGACTAATGGGTAAGTCATAAATTTTTGGTATTTACAATTGAGTGTTCGAATCACTCCAACATAAGGTGGATATAGCTCAATTGGTAGATCGACTGTTTGTGGTACAGTATGTTCCCTGTTCGAACCAGGGTATTCACCCACACCCTAAGAGGTGAGAAGCAGAGTAACCCGGATAGTTTAATTGGTTAAAACTTTAATTTCATGCATTAAAAATGGGAATTCGATTTTCCCTCCTGGTTATAAAGATCGAATGAAGGCTAGCCATAAGTCAGCAGGTTACTGTATACTATTTTATTTCTTTTCTACTATAGTAGCGAGCAGGCCGGCAGCAGGCTGGAGCCATCGGCGAGCAGCCGAATAAGATCCTACTTAGGAATTAAAAAAATTCTCAACTTTATCAGGATAGTTTAACAGGTTAAAACGTTAATTAGGGTTACTCTGTTTTATCCCCGGCAGGCTACGCTGCCGGGATCAGAAGTATACCTACGAAGTACGAAGTCGCCCGACTTCGTCTTAATTAAAAATGAGAATTCGAATTTCTCTTCTGATTATAAAAATTTTACATGATAATAACTTCAATACTATTTCTTTTGCTTTCTAACGCCGTCACAATTAGACGAGATATTTCAATACTTTTTAACAGAGTCGCAATTTTAGCTTTAGTTTATTGTATTTTACAAGATACAATGAGCTTATCTTTAGTAAGTAATGGTATAGGGTTACATGGAGGTTTACTTCATATAACTAATATTACTCAAATTTTCCATATATTTATATATTTTGTTAGTATATTAATTATACAGTTAACAAGTTTTCATCCTAGAAAAGTTTGAGTTCCAGAATACTCTTCTTTAAATCAATTATTATTTAATAAATTTATTTATTATAGAACAAAAATTATTAACAAAATGGGAGAACACTTAAAAATAATAGAATACCCTTTAATATTATTATTTATTATTGTAGGTGCAGTTTTCTTAATATCAACAAATGACTTAGTATCTATATTCCTTTCAATAGAATTACAAAGTTATGGTTTATATATATTAAGTACAATATATAGAAATTCTGAATTATCTACTACTGGAGGTCTAATCTATTTCTTATTAGGTGGATTAAGTTCATGTTTTATATTATTAGGGACAGCTTTATTATACGCAAATTCCGGTACTACAAATTTAGACGGTTTATACGTGATTAACAGTATAAGTGACTTTAGTGATATGACTTACTGATATCAACCTTATTATATAAATTTTGCTTTATTAGTTTTTAGTATAGGGTTCCTATTTAAAATTAGTGCAGCTCCTTTCCATTTCTGATCTCCGGATGTTTATGACGCTATTCCTACTATAGTTACAACATTTGTAGCTTTAGTAGCTAAAATATCTATATTAATATTCTTACTAGAATTAGTTTATTACACAAGTAATAACTTTTATTCTTCTGGAGGAGGACAAGATGTAAATTGAACTTTTGGTTTAATTATAAGTTCACTATTCTCATTAATTATAGGTACAGTTGTAGGTTTAACTCAATTTAGAATCAAAAGATTATTTGCTTATAGTACTATATCCCACGTTGGTTATATGTTATTAGCTTTAGGTATATCAAGTATAGAATCTACTCAAGCTTTTATATTTTATTTAACACAATATACTATAAGTAATTTAAATGCCTTTATTATATTAATAGCTATAGGATTTTCTTTCTATCGTTATGTAACTAATAATAAAGAACATGAAGAACTTTTAGATAAAAATAATTCTCCTGTACAATTAGTTAATCAATTAAGAGGATATTTTTATATTAATCCTTTATTAGCCTTAAGTTTTGCTATTACAATATTTTCTTTTATGGGTATACCACCTATGGTAGGATTTTTTGGAAAACAAATGGTTTTAAGTGCAGCTTTAGATAAAGGATATATATTTATAACTTTAATTGCTATTTTAACTAGTGTTGTAGGTGGAGTATATTATTTAACTATTGTTAAAGAAATTTTTTTTTATACACCACAATATAAAGTTAATCCTCTATTAGAAAATTTAACTTTACACGGTAATATTTACGATAAATATAATAATTTTATTAAATCTTTAGAATTTAAACATAATAATATAGTTATAGCTAGTCCTATGGCTTTTATTATTTCTGTTATTACTTTAGTAATATTATTATTTATATTTATAAATAATGAATGATTAAGCATGGGTACCATATTGGTACAAATTTTATTTAATTATTAATGAGTAGTATGACATTTTTTTTTGTATTTGTACTTATATTAACTTTCCTTTTTTTAGTTCTTAATTTTGTTTTAGCACCACATAACCCTTATCAAGAAAAATATAGTATCTTTGAATGTGGGTTTCATAGTTTCCTAGGTCAAAATAGAACTCAATTTGGTATAAAATTTTTTATTTTTGCTTTGGTTTATTTACTGTTAGACTTAGAGATTTTAGTTATATATCCATTTGGTGTTAGTGAATACGATAATGGTATATACGGATTAATAATTATGCTTATATTTACTGGTATTATTACTGTGGGGTTTGTATTTGAATTAGGTAAAAATGCATTAAAAATAGATAGTAGACAATCTGTTGTTGATTCATATAAATCGAATTCTTTTGTAAATACTTATTCTCAAAATTAACTTAAGATGTACGTAGTCGCCCGATACCTTAACAAGCGATAATCCTTAGTTATATAGAAAATAAAAGGGATTTTAGTATAATGGTAAATACATATGACTTTTAATCATTATGATATTGGTTCGAATCCAATAAATCCTAACCATATTTGTTATAAACCTTGTAATAAATATGCGTAACCGACAAAGATAAAAGAACCCTTCGTTCTTATCTTTATCCTAAAAGTAAATTCCTTTACTTTCGTTCTACAAATTCGTGGTTTAAGCCTAAATCTTCAAAATTACAAAACGATTAGTAATACAGTCTTCTGCCTTATAGAACGGCACTACAAGGAACTATTTTATATATATATAATACATGATACAAGTTGCAAAAATAATAGGAACAGGTTTAGCTACAACAGGGTTAATAGGAGCAGGAGTAGGAATAGGTGTAGTTTTCGGTGCTTTAATTTTAGGTGTAGCAAGAAACCCTTCTATGAGAGGTCAATTATTCTCATATGCTATACTAGGATTTGCTTTTTCGGAAGCTACAGGTTTATTCGCTTTAATGATGGCTTTCTTATTACTTTACGTAGCTTAATCAAATTTAACAGGGATTCCCAATTCGACTAGTTCCATTTCATATATATTCTATATATCACTACTTTTTAATAAAGTGGGTATAATATATATATGAAAAATATGGTAAAGTACGTAAATTTCATATATATATATGAATTTAGTTATAAAAAGCTTAGTTTATAACTTAGATGCCCCACACGCGTGAGGGATTTATTTCCAAGATAGTGCTACTCCTCAAATGGAAGGGTTAGTAGAATTACATGATAATATTATGTACTATTTAGTATTAATATTATTTGCTGTAGGATGAGTATTATTTTCTATAGTAAGATACTTTGTAGAAACTAAATCACCTATTGCTCATAAATATTTAAATCACGGTACTTTAATAGAATTAATATGAACTATAACACCTGCTATAATATTAATATTAATTGCATTCCCTTCATTTAAATTATTATATTTAATGGATGAAGTTAATGACCCTTCAATGACTATTTCAGTAGAAGGTCATCAATGATACTGAAGTTACCAATATCCAGATTTCTTAGATTCTAGTGACGAATTTATAGAATTTGATTCATATATCGTGCCAGAATCTGACTTAGAGGAAGGTGCTTTAAGAATGTTAGAAGTTGATAACAGAGTAATTGTACCTGAAGAAACACATATAAGATTTGTTATAACTTCTGGAGACGTTATACATTCTTATGCTGCTCCTGCTTTAGGTATAAAATGTGATGCATACCCTGGTAGATTAAATCAAGTTTCTGCATTTATTAACAGATCTGGAGTATTCTACGGACAATGTTCTGAAATATGTGGAATATTACATTCTTCTATGCCTATAGTAATTGAATCAGTAAGTTTAGAAAATTTTTTGTCTTGACTTTTATCACAATAAGTAGTAGTGCTATTCCTACGCTGATAGTTTGCGTGGTGGAGCACAATTTCCTAGTTATTTTCTGTTATCAAACTATCATGGATAGTAAAGTAACGATAAGGGATAGAGTTTATAGTTATAGTAAATATAAGTGTACTAGTTATGTCTCCCCTAGGTATGTATTATTTAGTACATTTCACCATAATGGCCTTCAAAAAAAAGCATTTAGCACCACATCTCCCCTAAGAACGGATGACGACCGTGATTTACCCATGGAAGACAACCGAGATCTATCGGAGGATGAGGCAGTAGATGACGTAGAATCTAGTAATGCTATTTCAACTCGTCGTGCTAGACCGGCGAATTTTCCCGTTGTGGTTAATGTTGATGATCCTAATAGTAAATTACACACAGATGCTATGACTGCTTATTATTATTGAAATAAGTTAAATAATACACCTAAAGGTCAAGAGAAGCAAGCGGAGAATAAAGCATATCTACAGAATTTCTTAGATAGTCTGCCATCTTCAGGCGCTACCTCTTCATCTAGTTCGGATAATAAATCGAATGCCCCGGCGGTAGGTTCTACTAGCTCGAGTGTTCCACCAGTAGCTTCTACTAGTTCGAATGTTCCACCAGTAGCTTCTACTAGCTCCAATACACCCGGGTCTACTAATTCATTAACTACTGGTGCATCAGGTTCTTCTAAACTCGAAGATTCACAATTATCTCCTTCATCCATTAGTTCAAAATCCTTAGGTAAACAGCCAGAATCTACTAAACGTAGTCAGGATGATGACAATAATGGTAAAGGTGGTCCTAGTGGGTTTTCAGGTGGTAGTGGTCCATCTGATCCTAGTGGAGGTTCAAGTTCTTCAGGTTCTAGTTCTTTGAAGTCCTTGTCAACTGAACAGTTAACAACGAATGTTCAACTAATTGGTAGTCCTATAGATTTTGTCATTGAACTTGAATCGACTACTTCAATTTTTGAGGTAATAGATTTTTTAGATGAAATGTAAAAAAATAATTTCATGATTCTCTAGTGTTCCTTGGACAAGAAGGGTTGAGCTGTAAACTTTATAGCAATTCTCCTTAAGATCTAAGCCTTTATAGCTCAACGGTAGAGCATAATACTGTTAATATTATGATAGAGGTTCGATTCCCCTTAAGGGCTTCGTTTAAGATAACTTAGCCTATCTAGTTTCATTAATGGCATTTATAATAAAAGCCTTTTTAATTATATATCTTTATTCTTATACGGTGAAAAGAGAGATGAAAACTTTTTATCATCGGTGGATTTTTTTATTGAAATTGAACAAGAATGGTTAGATATGCCTTCAATCTTTGACTCGTTTGATTTATAAATTTTTAGAATAAATAGAAATTAAAACAAACAAATAAATAAAATAAAACCAAAAGGGTATTATCTTAATGGTAAAGAAGAGCGTTACGGCCGCTAAGATATGAGTTCAAGTCTCATATACCTTTAGAATACTTGTATTTTAATCTTTGAACCGGGGAGCCGGGGTTAGAGCCAAAATCCAGATATTCGCAATATAAATATATTGTACACGAATAGTTTGATATAAAATAAATAGAATATATGAGTTTGACTTTAATACTTTTTTTAATAGGAATCTTAGGGTTCGTATTTAATAGAAAAAATATCATATTAATGCTTATTTCAATCGAAATAATGCTATTATCTATAACTTTTTTAATATTAGTAAGCTCTGTAAATATGGATGACATAATAGGGCAAACTTATGCTATATATATTATAGTTATTGCTGGAGCTGAATCCGCAATAGGTTTAGGTATTTTAGTTGCTTTTTATAGATTAAGAGGAAGTATAGCAATAGAATATAAATAATGTATTTAAGTATAATTTTTTTACCCTTATTAGGATCAATAGTTTCCGGATTTTTTGGAAGAAAAGTCGGAGTTAGTGGAGCACGTTTTTTAGGTTGTTCAAGTATAATAATTACAACAACTTTAGCTATCGTTGCATTTTTTGAAGTAGGATTTAACAACAGTCCTGTGTACTTACATTTATTCCCTTGATTAAACAGTGAATCATTTAACATTGTTTGAAGCTTCCAATTTGATAGCTTAACTGTTTCAATGTTAATTCCTGTATTAATAATTAGTTCTCTGGTTCATATATACTCTATAAGTTATATGAGTGCAGATCCTCACAATCAAAGATTTTTTAGTTATTTAAGCCTTTTTACTTTTATGATGATCATACTTGTAACAGCTAATAATTATTTATTAATGTTTGTTGGATGAGAAGGTGTTGGGGTTTGTTCATACCTTTTAGTTAGTTTCTGATTTACTAGAATAGCAGCTAACCAAAGTTCTATGTCTGCCTTCTTAACTAATAGAGTAGGAGATTGTCTTTTAACTATAGGTATGTTTGCTATCTTATGATCTTTAGGTAACTTAGACTATACTACAGTATTTTCATTAAGTCCTTATATTAATGAAAACATTGTTACTATAATAGGTATATGCTTATTAATAGGTGCTATGGCAAAAAGTTCTCAAGTAGGTCTTCATATTTGATTACCTATGGCCATGGAAGGTCCTACACCTGTTTCTGCATTAATTCACGCGGCTACTATGGTTACTGCAGGAGTTTACTTATTAATACGTTCATCCCCTTTAATTGAATATAGTTCTACTGTATTATTAATATGTCTATGATTAGGTGCAATAACAACTGTATTTAGTTCTCTTGTAGGTTTATTCCAACAAGATATAAAAAAAATAATTGCTTACTCTACTATGAGTCAATTAGGTATGATGGTTATTGCTATTGGTCTATCTTCATATAATATAGCTTTATTCCATTTAGTTAATCATGCTTTCTATAAAGGATTATTATTCTTAGGTGCCGGTGCAGTTATTCATGCAGTAGCTGATAACCAAGATTTAAGAAAATACGGTGGATTAGGGGCATTCTTACCCTTAACTTACTCTGTTATATTAATAGCAAGTCTTAGTTTAGTTGCTTTCCCTTTCATGACAGGATTTTATAGTAAAGATTTTATATTAGAATCCGCTTATGGGCAATATTACTTTAGTAGTGTGGCTGTATACGTTATAGCTGTTATAGGTGCAATATTTACTACTCTATATTC